TGAAAGAACACTCTTCCTTTTTACATTATCATTAATTTTTTAAGATATCTTGATAATCCAAAGTGTGTTTAGTTCATACCAATTCTAAATGTTGAAGTGAACCACTCATTTAAATCAACTGTGAAACAGTATTAATGATTTTTAAACCTCATTAAACTTAGAAATCAAGTTAAATGGCTATTTACAAAGTAATTGTGCATTTTGATCTTCTGTCTGAATGAGTGGATTTGATGTTGGTCAGAAGTCAGAGATGTCCGTCAGAAGTCAGAAAGCAAGTTATGAGAATGAAGTGCCTTGTTTTAAAACTCTCAGACAGTAAATAAGAAGCTGGCACCTGCAAAGTTTCTCACTTCTTCAAAATATTTTCTCATCTGTACTAACCGTTCCTAAACATTCCTGCTGTCTTTTGACTCCTAGTGACCCTCTTGACATCACTAGAACCACCCCCATGCTGGTTGTTTCAACCAATCAGGACGTACCAAGTGACAGGAAGTGAGTACTCTTTAAAAAGTCAACACTTCCTGGGACTATTCAGTCTTCTTTCAGTCTTCCTTGAGTCTTTGAAGTCTTTCAGTCTTTCAGTCTTCCTCTATGAAGTCTTCCCAGAAGTCTTCCACTTCTGAGTGGAATTTCTGACTGGAGTCTTACTGAGAGTTCCTAAGGAACTTTCAGATTTAATCAATAGCTGATGGATTTGACCGTGAGACAAGGGTCCGTCCATCCCAGCGGAGTCACAGCGCCTCGCTGTGAACTCACCCAGGCGTAACGCCCTACAACTTCGAAGGAAGCTTGTTCTGTTGAACGGAGTATATCGTCACGACTTCGGACGATGACTTGCCACCCTGACTGGAGACGCTGAAAGGTAGCGTGCAAAGGGACCTCTATACTGGAGCTGATCCATCCACTGCAAAGGTAAAGAGACGTCACGAGTTGTCACGCACTAATTGGACCGGGGTTGAGCTGGTGTTGAAAGAAGAGTGCTAATTCTGGTCAACAAACATACATCTTCCTTCATCCATCTTAAACTTCTCTATGTCTTCTCTTTAACTTTTCTATTTGCCAGTAACCTAGATGCCTTCAGAGGTGAATCAGCCTCGATCAGTAATGTTCTGTTGTCTTGTTAGTAAAGCGTGCCAAGTTTTTATTAATCAGAAACAGATCAGCAAATCAATGTGTACATGTTTTGATGTTAAATTTTGATTCTGTTAAATAAATGACCGCATTTATTCTGATGGGTCAAAGATAAAATGGCGTCTCATGTCACTGATTAAACAATCCACTCACAGTTATCTCGGTCACATGGCATAAATTTAACTCGAAAAAGAAAATAATCCGTTGTAATTAACAATTAATATTCTTTGTGCTTGAACTAGCTTTAAGAATAATTAATTAGTAGTGTGTCTACAGCAAGGCTGTCCTGACATTACTACAATTTCCTATGAGGAAAAAGGGCAGAAAAGGCTAAATATTTCAAAAAACTAAAGCTGCACCAATACCAAAAGTTTTGGTAAAGGGATTGTCCTGAAAGAGCTGAACGTTTTGATATACGATTTGATGAAATAGCTTGCAAACTGTGGGACAAGAATCGCACCGAAAAATGTATGGAAGAAAAATGGATCACAATAGAGTGAATGCTTCATAAGTATTCATACAATAAGGACAAAGCAAAGAACAAGCCAGTTCAACTATGGGCACTGCACTAGTCATTCTGTAAAAACTTAATGATGTTGTGCTTGTCTGTATTTGAACTCTTGCATGCAAATAAAGCCGGTTGACTCTTCACTTCTCTGTGAGTCTATAGACTTGGAGTGTGACTCTTCATTATCTTTTTTCCTACAGTATCACCGTGTTGGACTGGGTTTTGCTGGCAAAGAACACCACACAAAATGTATGCGGTTTTAGTCTTTATCAGTGGGTGTTTGGACAGAATCCCAATCTGCCTTCTGTGTTGACTGACAAGCCACCAGCTTTAGAAGGCACCACAAAAAGTGAGTGGGTGGCAAAACATCTCTCCTCTGCATGCATCAAGAAAGGCATTGACAGAAGCAGAATGCTCCAAAAGATACAAAGAGCATTATGTAAACAAGTCTGTCACACAGATGACAATTGTGAAATGGATGACAAGGTATACTACAAAAGAGTGGACTGCCATGAGTGAAAAGGACCTGGAGTTATCGGTCAAGATGGAGCAGTGGAGTTTGTCAGACATGGGGGAACTTGCGCTAGACTGCCTCAGACTAAGAAAAGTTCATGCTGAGAGTAAGGATCAACATAATGCAAAAGTTGATGCAGAAAGTGACTTAAGTGTTTCAAGACAGGAAACCGTCTCTGACACAGATACGTGGCGAACATGGAAACTGCGCATGTGGAAAAAACGCTGAAATTCAGCATGAAACATCACAAGACTCAGATGTCAGTGTAAGCCACAATAGACAGGAGCAAGAAAATAACATCCATCCATCCATTATTGTTACCCGCTTCTTATTTTTTGGGTCACGGGGGTCACTGGTGCCCATATCCAGCACTCTCTGTGCAAGAGGCACTCCCTGGACAGGTCTCCAGTCCATCACAGAGACAAACAACCATTCAGTCTCTGTCTCACACCTCGGAACAATTTAGAGTTATCAATTAGTCTAACATGCATGTTTTGGTCTGTGGGAGAAACTGGAGTAGTGCACCCAGGGAAAACCCACATATGCACTGAGAGAACATGCAAACTCCACCCCGAAGGACCCCCCGGCCAGGATTTGAACCGGCGACCTTCTCGCTGAGAGGCAGCAACTCTACCAACTGAGCCACCATACTGCCAAGAAAATAATGTGTCTTAAAACCAAACAGGTTTTGAAATACAAAGACATTAGTACTGGAGTTGGACACATTGGGCATGCACGCAAAACCACAGGTAAATATAAAAATTGGTACAATCTGGGGGCAGTTGGTAGAGCTGCTGACTCTCAGTGAGCAGATTGCTACAGTTCAAATCCCGGTCGGGGACCTTTCTGGGTGGAGTTTGCATGTTCTCTCCGTGCATGCGTGGGTTTTCTCCTGGTACTCCGGTTTCCTCCCACAGAATAAAAACATGCATGTTAGTCTGATTGGTAACTCTAAATTGTCTCTAGGTGTGAGTGAGAGTGTGAACGGTTGTCTCGTTTGTCTCCGTGTGTCCCTGTGATGGACTTGAGGCCTGTCCAGGGTGTCCCCCACCTCTTGCACAGTGATGACTGGACATGGGCACCAGTGACCCCCGTGATCCGAAAAGGAATAAGCAGGTAAAGATGATGGATGGATGGATGGTTACAATCTGGAATGCACTGAGCCCAACAACATAGCAGGCAGCACAAAATCAGTAGATACAACACAGTCGAAAGAACTGGAGATAGAACCGACTGTTACTGATGATAATATTGCAGATGTCAGAGAAGATGTATGCATGCTCAATAATCCAGGTAGAAAAAGCCAAAAAAGTTAAATCTGGTCCTCTGGACATTCAACAGCAAACTGGTTGATCCACTCTGAGAAGGTGCTATTTAAGAGACTGAGATGAATTCAGCACCTCAGACTGAGGAAGTCTTTAGGATGAGAGACAAAACGTATCTACATTTTTTTGCTTTGCTTTGTTTTTTGTATTTTTGAATGTCCAGAGGACCAGAATGAACTTTTTTGGATCAGAGAAAATGTGTTTATGACAGGTGATTATCATTTAACCAAGCTAAACAAAAGGAGATTAAGAGATGGAGAGATAACGATGTGTTTGTAGAAGTATAAGTGGGGCAAAAATGCATCTCTACCAGATGGATATGTACTCAGCTAATGGATCAGAGCCAAAAGCACGCTTAGAGGTTTTGAAGAGTTCAAAATGTCAGACTTGCAAAAAGTCAAGTCAAGTCAAGTCATCTTTATTTGTAGAGCACAATTTAAAACAGATAAACTGTTATCAAAGTGCTTACTAGTGAAAAGATTCACCAACATGTGCTTCAGAGTCCCCACAGCTAATTGTGGCAATCATCTGTCAGAGAAAATGGTCACTTCATTCCATGGATATCAAATCAGCATTTTTTACAAGAAAAAGAACGTCATGTTATTTACATTTGGACCCTCCAGAAGTTGGTTGTGAAGATACGTTATGGAAACTCAAAACGTGTACGTATGGTCTCACAGGTGCATCGCTGTACTGGTTCAACAGGGTTAAGGAGATTAATCAGGCAGCAGGGGGTAAATGTCTAAAGTTGATCCTGCTGTTTTAGATCAGGCCAACAATGTGAGGAATACTTGTATGTCATGTAGCCAATTTTATATGGGGTGGGGGACAAGTTTTTGTTTTGAACGTTTTTTGAATTCATCATGTCCTGGATGACTGAAAATCTTCACCAGCAGGTGGGGGACAAGGTTTCTCCTCAGCTGTAACTCAACAACTCAGATCTGCTTTTCAAGTTGGTCGCAAAGAGCAAGACAGCTTCTGCTTTGTAGGAACAGATTGTGTGACTGTTGACAAAAGCATACGGTGCAGAAAAACTACAGTCAACACCTGCAACCCATACACCTGGATCCTACAACCATCACATCAGCGTGAAGAAGACGAAGGAGATGGTTGTGGATTTCAGACGGAACAAACACAACTACCCCCCCCCCCCCCCGCCCGCAAACACAGGAGGATCTGTGGTGAAAGTGATCTCCAGCCACAAGTACTTGGGTGTGCACCTGAATGACAATATATATACCTGATTATCTACATATTGTACTTTAACCAGTATTAGTACGCTGTGGTAATATGTGTCTGTACTCCTGATGCATGCTCAATAATCCAGGTAGAAAAATCTACCTTCTACCTGGATTATTGAGCATGCATCAGGACCAGATTTAACTTTTTTAGATGTGTCTGTACTGTTTTACCACGTTCAGACAAACACACACACACAAACATAAACTATCATTATCAGCCGCTGACAAAGGCAAAGTTGGGCCATAGAGAACAAAGAAACAAAGAAAGGACGGTCATCGTCTTACTTGTACAGCAGACTTCCTCTGTCTCTGGGGTTCATCTTACCCCACGCTCCGTTATCAAAAGCTTCTTTGGCAGCAGCCACAGCCCGGTCCACATCTCCCACTGAGGCGTATGACACCTTACAGATGACCTTGGTGAAAAAAAAAATGTTTTAAATATGTCAAACATGAATGTATGGTCCCAAGGGGCAGCAAGCTACATTCAGGGGTCAGCCATACATCACTGATTTTTCTAACTATACATTTTTTTTTATTTTTATAATTGTTCCATTATTGTGTTCCACACATAAATGGAGTTTTGTGAGCCTCTAAATGATATTTCTTTTCCAAAATGAGTTCAAGTATAAGAAAACTTCAGTCACCACCCTCATGTTTTATGGTGTAAACACCCTGACATTTAGAAATGGTGCAGTGTTGGCAAAGATGTTTTTTAGAAATGTCAAATACAAAAGTTGCTTTGAAAAAAATGCTAGAGTCGACAAGATCTACAGTGGTGCTTGAAAGTTTGTGAACCTTTATTATTTTCTATATTTTTATATAAATTTGACCTAAAACATCATCAGGTTTTCACACAAGTCCTAAAAGTAGATTTAAAGAATGCAGTTAAACAAATGAGACTAAAATATTATACTTGGTAATTTATTTATTAATGAAAATGATCCAATATTATTGATGAAAATGATCCAATATTACATATTTGTCAGTGTAAAAAGTAGGGATGGGGCAGATCCGATCCAGTATCGGTATCGGCTTCCGATACCAGCATAATTTATGTATCGGATTTTTCCGATCCTCCTGCCGATATTTCCGATCAAAATGCATGTTGGCTTCAAACTATGGACTGGATTTCCTGAATGTGTCTGCTGAAGCCAGAGTAATAAGACCTGCCTCACATTCAGGAAATCCAGTTCATAGTTTGCAGCCAGCTACAACGTGAAGACCGAGTTAGCAGCACTGTGACTAACAGCTAACCAAATTTTCATCTAAACATGTCCGCTGTGTGGAAGTATTTAACACTAGAAATACCATAAAGCAATGCAGCAACATGCAATGTCTGCAGAGCCATAGCGCCATGTAATGAACATATATCTGTCAGATATTATACATAATTTAAACAGATTCTTTCATTTTTCTGGACTGAGTGCTATCGTGCATTGAATGATTAAATGTGGACGGAAACGTGTTTTAATTTCTGACTCACCATCAACAGTGAGCCGTTTAATTAAAAACGATTTAAAACAACATCACACATTTACAATAATTGGCAGATTGATTTCAACAACAGCTTAATTAACTTGCTTTACAAGGAGAACCATACGGCCATGGTATCACTTGCAGCTTTACAACAGACATTTCTGAAAATATCTGGATTAATTACTGGCAGATAGAAGAGTTTTAAAGATGGGAAAATGAAGTTTAAATGGAGAGAGATTTGGATAAGTCCTCTTTCAACAGCAGGTGCTGGTGTAAGCTTATTTATACCAGCAGGAGTCTATGACAACTTCCTGTGGATCGTTCTGTTGATATCCGGTTGTTAGCCGCTTAGCTTAAAATTAGCATCAACAAAACTCGGTCAAATCAACATTTCTGAACGGATTTAAAGCTAAAACGTGGCGTTGTTTCAACAAGCACGACTTTTTTGCATGAAACATGAGTTTTTGGTACATGTAATATGCCACATGTAGTGATTTTAAGCACAGTGGAGGCTTCGGTTGAACCGAGACTCATTTCCGGGGTCACGTGACTGAATCAACCAATGGTCAGAGACAACAGCGGGGGTGGGTTTTACAACCTGACATCAGAGGAAGTGACGACAGACACGTCACTCATCTCTCAGCGAATCAGAGCTACCCAAACAGCGGTTTTCGACCAATGACGCATCGTCATTCTAGCTAGCATGTTAGCATTTAGCCTGAACATTTCGGTCAACTTTCGTCCATTAACTTCTCAAAATGTACAATTTTCTGTTCCAAATGTGACGAACAAACTCTTAACTGTGTTCTGAGACGGCGCTCAGCTTTTTAAAACGTCTCTCCATCCATTTAAAACAACTCGTTCGAACTTATCAGAACCGAGCGAGCGGACCGGGTCTGAGCCGAACCCCCTGTCTGTTTAAACAGAATCCACGTTTCTCACAGCTTATTAGCTCTGTCACATAACAGATGTACAAATTTCAGCTTTTAAATGAACACACTGACTTTACTTTCAGCTCTAAAAACACCACAACTGAAAACTTTCTCTGAACACCACAGCTGCAAAACGCTGCGTTTCACACAGCAATCTGCACTCTTAAGCTAATTTCAGTTAAGATCAGATATGCCAACATGATAAATTCAACTGTTACACATCCATTCATGATACCGTACGGGTCCACCAGTATGTAATGAACTATATCTGTCAGATATTATTCATAATTTAAACGGATTCTTTCATTTTTCTGGACTGAGTACTATCGTGCATTGAATGATTAAATGTGGACGGAAACGTGTTTTAATTTCTGACTCACCATCAACAGTGAGCCGTTTAATTAAAAACGATTTAAAACAACATCACACATTTACAATAATTGGTAGATTGATTTCAACAACAGCTTAATTAACTTGCTTTACAATGAGAACCATACGGCCATGGTATCACTTGCAGCTTTACAACAGACATTTCTGAAAATATCTGGATTAATTACTGGCAGATAGAAGAGTTTTAAAGATGGGAAAATGAAGTTTAAATGGAGAGAGATAGGTGAGGGAATGTGTCTGTTATAACCAGAAACGACACGCTCCTTTGGACCCAGCTTAACCCACGGTACACTTCGCAGTTGAAGATCGACTTTTTACCTTTCTGAAGATATTTCAGTTCCGGCGTAAAGTTCCACTTCAAGCCACCTTTCAGCGTCTCCGTAAGAATAGCAAAAACCTCAGGAGTCGTGAGATCATTTCGTTCAACAGCAGCTCACCTCCCAGGTGGACTCACATGAGCTGTGAGCTCGTCAGAGGTTCCACTCAGATATGGAAGATTCCATAATCCCCACGAGACTCGGAACTTTGTTCTGCGTTCTGAACTGCTTGGAACTAGGAAGTGTTGACCCTTTTAAAGAGGTCACTTCCGGTTCCTCTGAGAACTTCCTGATTGGTTGAAACGAACCAACAGGGGTGTGATTTTTAGTGACGCAAGAGGTCACTAGAAGTCAGAAAAACAGTGAGTTGTTTTAAGAACAGACAGAAAGATGTTTTGAAGAAATGAGACTTTTTGGAGCCAGTCTTCTCCTATCTATCTGAAAAAGTTAAACATGACATTTCTTTCCAGTAAACATGTTTTTGACCGAAACTTGACTTCTGACTCACATCACGACTTGCTCATTTCAGACAGAAGATAAAAAAAAATGCATAATTACTCTTGTAACAAACATTAGCTTGATTTCTACTTTGAATGAGGATTAAAAATCATTTATACTGTTTCACAGTTGATTTAAAATGAGTAGTTCACTTCAACATTTAAAATGGTTTGAACTAAACACACTTTTGATTATCAAGATATTGTAAAATAGTACTGATAATAAAAAAGAGAGTGTTCTTTCAATTGATCAGTGCAGGACACACTTAAAAAGTCTCTGGATGAACTTAATTTTGTGTTTCTGGACTCAAATCAATGAAATAATAGTTCTTGTCCCAGGAAGGCCCTCAGGGCCAGATTTTGACCTGAGGCTTAGTTCACTACAGTCACATTAAATCACGTTAAAGTTAGTTTTACGTTGGACATTCGAGCTCCGTGGCTTCAGCTGGGTGCTGCTCTTTGCTCAACCCGGGGCGGCCAACTCGATCCCGGTCAGCCGCGTCCAATCTGCCCCGCTCAGTCTGCTCGTCTCTGAGGAGGGACAGACTTGAGCGCGGCTGCCCCAAATCAGGCTGCTTGCTTTGGATTGAACAAGAAGAAGACATCGCTGAAACCACGGAGCTCAAATGTTTACAGAGAAGTTGCTAAACGTCATCATAATTAATGACCAACCACTATCAGTTGTAGAAAATGAAGGATTTCACAGTTTGATACTTGCAGTCAAGATATAGTTTAACCCTCCAGGAGATATTTATCAGTACAACAGCAGCCCATCATAAAAAACATGTGATTTGAAAATTATATATATTAAAAACAAAAACAGCTACATTATAAGTGATGTAAAATACTAAAAACGGGAACATGTCTGTTGGTTTATGTCATGAACGTAGCAGATGTTTGAAGCCATTTAACATTTAATTTATTTCATTTATTTATTTTATTATTTTTTTTTTTTCCTCTGATGGCCTCCCTTCTCCCCTTACAGCCATCCTCTCCACACCATTATTATGAAATATTTATTATAGTGACTATCTAGTGTAGGTTTTTTTTTTTTTTTTTTTAATAGGATAGAAA